TAATTTTATTGGCAACACATTTATGTTTAAAGCTAAATAAATTTAAATTCTGAATATTGGCAAGTGTGCAATTAACTTCTAATGATGAATAATAACTGTTCAATAAGTTTGAATACGGACTTAGAAATCATATAACTTGGTTTCTTAGTGCGGTAAGAAGTTGCAGTTGCATGACGGCCCCTCTCTGGGGGCCCCTTTGGAAACCGTTTCATCTCGCTCGCACCACTTGTGTTTACTGCCTAGTCAGGTGACGTTATCGGCGCTATTTTAGCAGGGCTTTCCCGAACAATTCAAGTGGTCAAACTGGACATTTGGAACGGACTATGAATATGGGGATAGCAAGGTAACATAAGTGGAAGTGCATACAATACATATATTCATTAAAAAAAAACGCCTTTTCACGTGATGTCCCTTTAACTAAAATCTCATAAAGCCATGTCGGCCCCCACTTGGTTGATGAATCTACCTTGAAGATTGTCTCAATGATCATTTTTCTGATTTCTGGGTCGGGCTCGCGTGCCTTGTCTGGGGGCAAGTACTGCAGGTCGTCTGGTAACTTCTCATTGTCCTCATCATCAAACTCCTCTGGACCAGCCAGAGGGAGCAGTAACCGTGGTAACAGGTCAACACTGTCACCTAACAACCACTCATGGCAATCTGAAAATCATTTATACACACAAATTAAGAACATAACATATATATACATATGAGATTAAAAATTTCCTACAAATGACTTTCATAAATCTACATCCCCTTATCACAATAAAGTGATGTAGGGCCACTCCACAGAAAATCTGAGAAAATAGAGGTAGCAGAGAACAGTAGAAATGGCTTGACCCTAAAAATAAAGAGCATGTCTCGGATAAACATGGATAGCGGATTCATCCTGCACAACACACCTACATATATATATATATTTATAAACTACATTTTGAATACGTTTTTTTTAGAAGAATGAATATTTTTCAAAAAGTGCTTTCCCCAGATTTGGGACTTGTGGTTACCACATCAAAAAATGCCAAAAAATTGCAAGAAAACATGATTTTTAACCCAAAATTTTACCCACGCAAGTAGTACCTTTTTTCTTAAAACCTGTCTTAAATTAAATATCACCTACTCGGTCACAGATACTCACGTTTTAGCATAGGTCGTCAAACTAGATTTTTCACAATATTTACACATGTGCTGAGTACAAACATAGACTGTGTATATGCCAATTTTAGAGGCGATTCTTTTTTTAACTTTTGATACCGGTACATGTAATATTACAGGGGTTATTCATTGTACAAAAATATCAGAAGACTATCATGGAGGCATTTAGTAGAAAATGAGGTTAAATGTAAAACTGAAGTTCCTAAATAAGTTAAGGACGCTGATGGAAAATCAGTAAAACCTGACATTCTGTCTAATCTGATCAATAACTTGTCCTACAGGATGTCTGATTTGAAAGAGTTTACTGAAACTAAAAAAGAAGAAAAAAATCCTATTTTAATATTGTTGTACATAATATATCAATCAAAATACATGGCTGTTTCATACCAACATCAAAGCAGCAATTTTTCAAGCAGGCCACAATTCCATGTCGACGCGTTTTTGACTCTTTGAATTCAATAAAAGGTAGAAGTCTCTGAACCACAAACTGATCCTGTGCCATGACCTTTGTCCTGAATTCGGGAATTTGGGTCAGGTTGCCAAGCACTGTTGCTAAGTGGTGAAGGTTAGCCTTGGGATTATATTTGACACTGCACAAAGCATTTACCAGTTTAGATACACCCTGATCAGTCTGCATCAGCACCTTAGCTACCTTCTTAGCACAGTTCTCTGTTCTGGTCACATTGGAAAGTAACTGACTAACAAAATCTGCCATTTCAAATTCTGGATCAAGCATCTCCTTCACAAACTCAGCTTCCAGGTTCGGATAGGAAGGCAGTGATAAAATTCGATTAGATGCTGTTTGTAAGTTTGTCAGGTTTATCAGTGTCTTGTAATTCTTTTCAACAATGTCTTTTGTGTCATCCTTGAGAAGGGAGACAATCCCCTCCATGAATTTGTCACTACCGGCCACAAATATGCGGCCTTCCATCCCACCACTCAGTCCCAGGAAGTACTCTGTAGCAATACCCTTAACATCCAGTTTGGCTTTAGGGTTCAGGAAGGGACCAAACTCCTTTTCCAGGTGTTCTATGTCAAGTTTTTCCATGGTTTTGTTACTAGTTCATCCCCTGAATTAAAAAAAAAAAGATAAAATGACTTAATTAAATCTATATCAAAAATAGTTTTAATGGTTTCTTTTAGGGAGAAAGACAAAGATACATCTAGATCTGTTCAAGTCGCTTGTTAAACCTGTATTCCTGTATGGCTCTAAAACCTGGAAAAATTACAAAAGCAGAAGAAAAGAAACTGAACACCTTCCAATACCAGTGTCTCAGAAGGACATTAAGAGTAAGATGGCAGCAAAGAAACCAAATGCTGAAATTAAAGAGCTAGCCAAAATAAATGACATCAGCTGTGAAATAAGGAGAAGGTGGAACTGGATTGGTCACATCTTGAGGAGAGAAGGAGTAAATGACTGTACAATAGCTTTGGGATGGGCACCAGAAGGAAAAAGAGCAATAGGGAGACCAAAACCAACATGGAGAAGAACGGTTGAAAAAGATCGCAACCATAAAGGATGGAGTAGCTGGAACAACGCAAAAACAGCAGGGAAAGACAGATTAGGTTGTTGGGGCCTTAATAGCTCACCTGGTATTTTTTTTTTCAATTTAAAACCTGCTGAGTACCATTCAGGTTTATCAAAGGAGTACAAGTAACAAAGTTGCATCTTCCATTTATAAATATTCAATTCCCTTTGCCCAAAGATTCTCTAAAACAAGTTTGGTTAGGTTAAAATCCCTTCAACGGTACAGAAGGAGAAGGATCTTTAATGTTTTCCTCTATTTCCCCTAATGGGCCCCACTAATCTGCCCCAAAGAAGGGGAATCCACACACCTCAGTTTAAACAAAATTGATTCTTTTCTCCCTAAGCATGCTTCAGACTGCATTTGGTTTAAATCCCTTCACTTGTATAGTAGGAGAAAAAAAATCCTCTATTTCCCCTATTGGGCCCCGCTCCTATGCCGCCAGAAGGCCCACACCCTCCGTTTATACAAACTTGAGTCTCCTTTGTCCAAAGATGCTCTAGGACAAATTTGGTCAAAATCCTTCAATTGGTTGAGGAGAAGATTTTTAAAGATTTACCTATTTTCCCCTATTTGGCCCCGTCCCTCTGCCCCCAGGGGGACCATACCCTCCGTTCATACAAAACTGAGAACCCTTTGGCCAATGATGCTCCAGACCAAATTTGGTCAAAATCCCTTCATCGGTACAAAAGGAGAAGGATATTTGATGTTTTCCTCTATTTCCCCTAATGGGCCCCACCCATCTGCCCTTAGAAGGAGGCCCACACACCTCAGTTTATACAAAATTGATTCTTTTGTCCCTAATCATGCTTCAGACTGCATTTGGTTAAAATCCCTTCACTTGTATAGCAGGAGAAAAAAAATCCTCTATTTCCCCTATTGGGCCCCGCCCCTCCGCCCCCAGAGGGGCCACACCCTCCGTTTATACAAACTTGAGTCTTCTTTGTCCAAAGATGCTCTAGGACAAATTTGGTCAAAATCCTTCAATTGGTTGAGAAGAAGAACATTTTTAAAGATTTACCTTTTTTCCCCTTATTTAGCCCCGCCCCTCTGCCCCGAGGGGGGGCTATACCGTCCGTTTATACAAAACTGAGAACCCTTTGGCCAATGATGCTCCTGACCAAGCTTCAGACTGCATTTGGTTTAAATCCCTTCACTTGTATAGTAGGAGAGAAAAAATCCTCTACTTCCCCTATTTGGCCCCGCCCCTCTGCCCCCAAAGAGGCCACACCCTCCATTTATACAAACTTGAGTCTCCTTTGTCCAAAGATGCTCTAGGACAAATTTGGTCAAAATCCTTCTATTGGTTGAGAAGAAGAAGATTTTTAAAGATTTACCTATTTTCCCCCTATTTGGCCCCGCCCCTCTGCCCCCAGGGGGGGTATACCCTCCGTTTATACAAAACTGAGAACCCTTTGGCCAATGATGCTCCTGACCAAATTTGGTCATAATCCTCTGAGCCATTCAGGACAAGTAGCATTTTAAAGGAAAAAGTTGACGGACGCCGGATGCCGGACGCTGCACCATGGGATAAGCTCACTTGGCCCTTCGGGCCAGGTGAGCTAAAAAGCGTGGAGGCCTTATGCGACTACTGGCACGGAGACACTTAAGGTTAAGTTAAGGTTTAGGAAAAGATCATCTGATGGGGGTAAGCAATGGGTATTACTTTTCTGAATTTAATAATGACTAATGAATTTATAGTTTGAATTTGACCATCATTGGTTTTCTTCTTAGTGAAAGGTATATACTCATGCAATCAGAACTGATGCAGAGGTCTGGCTCCGCTCCTAATACTTTTTTCCAGGCTCATAACCCAAACCCTTTTCCCTGATTTTCAATCAATTATGCTTCGGGTGCAAACTTGGTTTATGGGACCTGATATCAATTGTTGTATAAAGGAAGAATGTAGCTCCCCTAAAGGTTAAGTGAAAATGCTTGAAAGTTCAAAAGCTACTCCTATTGACCAGTTGACTATATTTCAACCAGGGGCCTGTTCGTTTATGCGGATCAACCAGTTTTCCATTTAACCATTTCGGGTATAAATCCTGAAACCTGCAAATGTTTACACAGACCTTGCAAGGCTTTGTCAAGAATCACCTGAAAGCAGCATCAGATTACGGATTATGGATGATTTGTGCATTTTGTGCGACTCCGTGGTTAGACGCAGACAGCATGGTATCTGAAGTGATGTGTGTGACTGTTGGCAGCATAGAACCTGCCACACTGACAAGTATATACATTTTTATACAAGTATATTTAATGTATTTTGATAATTCCCTAAGTAAATTGCCAACATGAAAACGATAATATACAGTATATTCCGGATATTAGTATGTCCGTTGTAGGATTCGGTGATGAATATACAGGTTCGTTCTTCACCTTCCGGCACGTAATTATATCTTGATTCAAGAGAAAGATAAGGGTTTTTTTAACTTTTAACATGATATTTATGACTTAAAGATTTTTTTTAGGGCAAAACAACCTAGGGCGAACAGGATTTGGGGCGAAACAACCCTTAGGGCGAACGGGATTTGGGGAGAAATAACACGTTACCTCAGATTACTAGGTCCGACCTTATTTAATAAACGAACAACTGCGGTCCGACCGGTTTGACCGTTTAAACGTTAACAGCCCAAATTTTCTTATGAAGTACATGCATGTAATTCTTGGGAATGTGTTACAGCTGAGGAAAAAATGCATGACCAGACTGGGAGCGGTACAGACCAAAATTCATTTGGGCCCCTGTTTTTAAAGTAGAATAAAGGTTACATTCCACAAACACTAAACATTTGTGCTGCATGTAGATATCCCTGTCAATGAAGTAGAGTTATTTGATACATGACTTATCACTTGATGCAGATCGGTGCTTAGTGATTATAACACAGACAGCAAAGAGAATCAAACGTAAAACAGTTCTTCTTCCTATGAGAGACGAATCTCCAAGATTGGAACAGTTACATTGTGACCAAACACATACACTTACACGTACAGTTATCAGTTATGATAAATGCATCTTCATATTCAACATACACGTGTTTATATAGGAAGTGACAAAATCAAGGGCAAGTCACTCCGGATTTACATTTTCATAATTTATCTCCCTTTGGTACTTGTTGAAAAATGGCTGCCACTGGGTAGCAACGAAGACCCTCTCGAGTTTGATCACGTAACAAATGCAATCTTGGCACTCAAACACAAGTACGTTCATATCAGAATATCTTTTTAATCCCCATAGTTCAATTTCCAGTTATTGGAAAAGTCCTACTCTACATAAGAAAATTGACAATAAATTTTGAAACCGGAAATTACTTTTCTGGATCAGGTGTGTCCAATAGAGACGGCGTGGATAAAATTTGCATATCAAATAGGTGACATGCCACAGTAGGTAAACTGACGAGAGGACAATGTGCTAGGGAAAACACTGATATATTGGATTTTCTGTTGTTTCTTCTAGATGATTGGCACGAAATCGGATATCAAATCTGTATAATGGAATAAGGAAAATGTAAACGTGAAATTATTGTTGGATTTGACTTCACAATGTTGAATATTTGGTAAGTATATATATTTTCTGCTTTCAGTATATATATACTCACATACATATACCAACATTTTAAGAACTGTAATTACATCGTCTTAATGACGGAAACTATTATATGCAAGCACCTTTGTAAATACTTACACAGTATCAGATTTGGTTTGGGCAGAAATAAATGTTTACCAGCGCCAGTGGCAGAATATTTGTAGCCCATCAGATTAGCTTTTGTTATTGTTTGCATAATTGAAAAATGTGGACTCTAGTACTTTATGTATCAGAGTGTGAAGTAGATCTTGGCATGTAACACTATTATTAAATATTTAATGAGACACTGTATTGTATACATGTATATATCCTAAAGTTTAAAAAAATAAGACACATGCATACATGTACATGTATGTATACAAGATAAGATAACATGGTATAAATTTACCAGTGCAGAGACAAGATCATGTTTTCTTTGACAAACCTATAATATAGGAATTGATAAGCAGTGTTATATTCCATTTACATTATTTTTTAATAATTTTCATTCAGTCATAAGCAGCTGTATTATTAAATCAAATAATCGTTAAGTTTCCTATGCTGTCTTGTAATGTTTAGTAATCAGTAGTTACATGGATGTTGCAACCAATGAAAAAGAACCTACCGCTAAGGAAAAGCATCAGCATATATATCCATGTCACCAGACTAATTATGAATTACATGGCAGGATATTTACATTAAAAGAGGAATATACACTTTTATGCTTCTATGATTGTCAATCATATATATATAGTTGGCACTTTGTTTCCTGTTGTGTGTACATTCCTGTTACCAGCCTAGCTCTGCTCTTTTACTTTTTCATGGAAATGTTTAACAAATTTGCGATCAGATTGAGTTGAAACACATATTATGCATAATACTAAATATTTTCAACAAATATTTAGCTTTTGATGCACTAATAAGCAAACAGAAACAGTTGAATTCAACAATTTGATTATTTAAAACAAAAGGAGATCAAACCATTACTAAATCAAAGGAATGAACAATATACTCTATTGTACTAGTTTTATCAACAGATCTTTTTTTCGGTTCAAAATTCAATCTTTTTAGTTTAGCTTTCCATCCTTATGCTGGACCAAATCTTAGTTACAAGTATGTTATCTGTACTTTGAAATATAACATACAAAAATGTAGCTATAACTAGCACGGTAAGTTCTTGGTACACACATGTATCAGAACTAGAATCAAGAACAATAAATTGCATGACGTTTTGTTAAGGGGAGGGGGCACATTTTGTTTATGGGTATATTATTATATCCTTAAATGTTACTTCATGTTTTTTATATTTATGATTCTCATAAACGTGTCACAACTGTTCAGATAAATGAAATAGTTTAGGCTTTGTCATTCCATTTCTCTGGTATGGTTTTTATTCTTTTCCTTTCTCTTATTATTTTTTCATTTCAAAGGGGGCATACCTCTGTCTCCCTCCTGCATTGGGAATACCATGTACTAATTGTGAAATGTATTAGTATATCAGAATCCAATAAGTTTGTAAGATAACACAGTGCTCAGACAACACAAAAGGGGGAAAACCTTAAAGAATAGAAGGCTACTGACACTTTAAGGGGGTTAAATACATCATGCAATTGGCTCAAGGTGTCATGGAGCTAGGATTAATCTTTAGTACATGTAATTTATGAGCTCAGAATTTTTATATGATAAGGTTGCTGTCTTTGCACCTACATTCTTAATTATCATGTAAATCAATGTCCCCTATACCACTGTAAAAAACTGTAACCAGTCATTGGAAACAGATTATTTTTTTCTCAGCAAGGTTATGATAAATCATTTCTGAAAAGAAAACCATACCCTGTGGGACTTTCATAAAAAAATAAGAAGAGATGAAATCAATAAAAAAACACTATCAACAACTGTCTACTGTGTGTTAACCCTTTCACCCCTAGATAACTTTAGTAGACTCTACCATACATTGATCTGGATGAGTCCAATATGGTTTACAGTGGTGAAAGGGTTAAAGGTGCATAAGGTTAATTCTGTCCCCAATCACCAACACTTTTAGGTTATCTGTCTGATATTAAATATCATCAAGCTGACCTCAAAGTTATAGTCTCCCATTGTGTGATGTTCATTAACATTGTAAATTAACTTAAGCTCAAACTCAAACTCAAGAGCTTCAGTTTCATTTTCTTCATTTGTTAAAATGTTTAGGCACTTAATTAAAAATTCAAAGAGAGAAGGAAATTGACTCATTGTCAGTCAAATATTCTGCTTGGATAAATGTCTATGGACAGGAATGCTAAATGTATGTAATACCAATAAGGTTAAATGGGAACTACTATCTTCCAAAGATAAGGTTTCATTAGTTTGGATAAAACTAGTACTTTACAAAGGTTATTGGGTACATAACTATATATATATTGGTGTTTTTTTGCTACCTGTTCGGTTTTCTGATAAAGAACCTGTTCCCCGTTTGCTCATCAAGTTTGAATGAAAAGCGAGTGAACAGTACATTAACACTCTGCAGATCTAGACTCAGATGAATTACATTGTGTATGCTCATGGATAGAACACGACCAAAGGGAATCTCTCCTTATGTAACGGACACCAAAATTGATGTGCTATCAGTTTTTTCTTAATTCAAGGTTGTTTGCATACACAAATGACCATTTAAACATTTAAAGAATGAAATTCATCTTTTTAATATTTTATTTATAATGGCAATGCAGGTATGCAACACAATTCTGTTCAAACCTAGCTATTCTATGATGTGCAGTAGCAAGTATCGCTGAGTGAGGAAGACAAAATTCATTTTTCTCGTGTTATGAAAAAAGATAGATTTTAAGTCAGAGTGCTGATTAATATGGCCCTAAATATTAGTTGCAGAAAATATTGTGGGGAAGGCCGGAAGGGGGTTCACATCTTTTATAAATTTAAAGTGAAATATTGTTACTTGTACTCTATACCACTCTATATTACTGCAAAAATGCAACAGATATTTCACCTTAGTTGAAATATTGCATGGATATACTTGGTGGGGAAGGCGTAAGTGGGTTCACATCTTTTATAAATTCAAAGTAAAATATTTGTACTCTGTATCACTAGAATAGAATTACTGCAAATTTATGACCTTAGTTGAAATGATGAATATACTTGTATGTGATGTACATTGCACCTTTCTCAGTAGAAAACATTTTATCTGTGAGTTAATCTATTGGAGTTAACTGTGTAAATAAACTTATAACAAGTACATGCTTATACTTCTGGTTTGAAAAGCCTTTAAATCCAAAATGAGATTAAACCGCATGACCACTTTTGTTGAAATCGCTGTTTGACATGTTGTTGGATTAAAGACACACAAGAATAACCGCGGAGATTGTACAGCTGTAGGAAATATGTATTTCTGTCTCGGGTATTGTACATTTCTATATATAGAGATAAAGAAATGTTTCAATAATGATGTTTAGCCAAAAATGTGTCCAACAATCTGGGTCAATCACCAATAATCATACAGTGTAGTGGAACCGAGACAGAGAGAGATTGTTTTATTTGCCCTGATAAACCAGTTTTGCATATATATATATATATATATAAAACTCTTCCAAAAGCCTTCACGGTCATGACGCGTATTGCAAATGTAAAAAAGATGTAAAAAAGTGGCCTTTAGGTAACTTAACTTTTTGATTAAGCATACATGCATGTATTTCTAATCATTTCCACATCCATGTTGAATTGGCAGAATAAGATAATATGACATCAGCTTTGTACAGCTTGTTGTTGAAATGAAAAACATGGAGCCTAGGTATCTGACATACCCTATACCTTAACTTGGGCCGAAGCATAATTATCGGATAAAAAATGCTGATTATATACCTCAGCAACAGATGCTAGCTTGATCTGATGGTCATTTCTTCAATTGATTAGTCAAATTTTAATTGTCTGTACTTTAAAGGGAAACATTGATTTTAATTGTCAGTCAGCTACTATTAAATAGATGTTGGGTCCCTCCATTGTAACCATGACGTAATTTGCTAGTACACTGGTTTCTGTACAATAAAATGGCCACAGAAATATGCTATGGTCAATATGGGTTATTTTCGATGCAACAAGCAATGAACTTGTTGTTCATTGATATAGTGTTTACAGTGGCCATTGATTATGGGTGTAACACTATTTAGAGATTATTATCTTAACCTTTGGTCATTTTGATAAAGTTAACCTAGATGGTCACTCTGTCAGCTAGAGACAGATATCAGCCAAGTCTATAGCTAACGTATCATCAGAGAGGGCTGGCTGGCCATAGATATTATATTCTTCTTAACAAAATTATGTTTTTGCAAATGAAATAATGATAACACACGAAATTAAAGATAACATCATTTTACACCAATTTATTATAAATCATTACAGAAAACACTTCACAAAAAATCTGAGGAAATACTTTTGCCCACATTCAGCCTATACCAGTTTTCAAAATTAAAAAACGGAACATATTTCTTTTATTTGCCAAATCAATGCATCGATTGAATTCGTCTCAATAGTACTAATACACATGTACCATTTCCGACATTAGAATTATTACACACATATTAAATGGCCCATTTTGTCACCATGAATACAGACTTACAACAAAGTCTTAGATATATGATTATTTGTTAAAGGTAAATACTTTACCTGTGTCAATATATTTATCCTGTTTAATACCTGCGACCAAACTGACAGATCTATATAAATCTGCATTAAACTTTTCACGGACGAATATTGGCAAGTACTCGCAAAAAAACCATACAACGACTAAGTGCTTGTATTATATATGATATGACCTTATAAGCTTGTGATTCACTTTATGTAGGGCTAAAAATTTTGTGTTGATCTAATTCAATATTTTTCTATATCCAAAACTCAAACCATAAATTATGAGTATTTCATTTTTGTAAGTCAGTTTTAAACAGAGTATAATATTACTTTGAAGTTAATGTATACATAAATCTTGACTTTGTTGTATGAAGTTAAATAAGTTTTTGACCAAAATACAGTGATGTCCCTTGCAGGAGACATTTTCTACTCTTACATGCATAAGATGTTTAGTACTGTAATGTCCCTAATAATCGTCTCACCCTTATGAGCACTGAGTATGTCGTTATGACGTCATGCCTATGTCGTAATACCAACTTAATTACTATCTCGCAATAACGACATGCCTATGTCGTAATAACGACTCTGTTATGTCGTAATAACGATTTACTATGGTTATTATGAGATAGTAAATCGTTATTACGACATAACTAAGTCCTTACTACGAGATAGTAAGTCATTATTACGACATAGCTAAGTTGTTATTATGACATAGCTTAAGTCATTATTATGACATTTCTTTTCTCTGTGGCCCATATCGGCTTCAGTAGGCTATACATGTATAACTTTTATGCCAAAGTAGTGAAGTTAGCAATGTTGTAATGCTGTGAGTTTAAATAATTTCATAGGGATAATCTTTTGAAGGGTTGAAAACAAGATATTCCATTTGTCAGAGAAAACTATTTTAACCTAATTTGAAATGGTTGTGTTTTTTTCAGCACCCTTGATTCCTTGATCTGGGTTTTTCCATTGGTAATTTGTTCTCTGAAGTTTATTAAGCATGGACCATGCCATGATTCTGACTATGACTTTATCAGATTATTTATTTTGACAAATAAAAACATACTGTGGTTACAGACACAAATGGTTTTGTAACTTTGTTAAAAACATTACAATAATTAATGATGCTGATCAGTTAGACTGAATTAGTTGCTAAAAAGGAACATTTAATCTTTCTGAAATGAAATAGATAAAGTACATGTACATGTAGTTATATTATACATATTGGTATGATGCTAACATACAGACCTTGTCATTGTATTGATGCGTGCATACAGGATATTAAAAAATCAATATATTTTGGAACTAATCACAGCTAAATGGGTATAAGATATCTAATTGACATCTGACAAAGTTTCATTTTAAACAGCTTAATCAACAGTGTTTAACTTATATACCAAGCCAAACCAAAAAAAGTTTTGTGCCCTGGCCAATGCCTTATAATTAATTGCTCGTAAGATTTTCAGTAGGATAACTGAAGTTAATTAGGCATTTGGATGATAATTTCCTTAAAAGTTTTGGATAGATATTCTTTAAACAGGGTCCTGCTACTTTAAACCTAAACATTTTGTGCTAGAACCCTGGGTACATTAACTAAGCTTACTGTATCTTTGTACTAATGTTAGAGATGACTATCTAGCTAATTTAAACTACCACAGTCGTATGAAGTAAGATGATGAGACAAGGGGATTCCCCAGTAATACTAATATGAAATCACTGCAACAATTCATTGATGTTATATCAACATTGTATACATATGACAGGGTAGTTCTAAAAGAGAAAAAAAATCCACTCCCCTTTGGAGTAAATCTACAAGTCTTTTGTTTGGCATTATAAAAATCTTCCAACTTGTGCTGTGCTCCATCTCAAACCAAAAGGGATGAAAGGGTTTTATCGTATAAATAGGGTAATTATTAGGTATTTAAAAAAAACGGTGTCTTCAATAACCTTGTGTTTGATATAGTGTTATACTCTTGTATATAATGTTATACTCTTGTATATAATGTCATATTCTATATGTCATACTCTTTGATATAATGTCATACTCTTTGATATAATGTCATACTCTTTGATATAATGTCATACTATTTGATATAATGTTATACTGTTGCATATAATGTCATACTCCTGGATATAATGTCATACTCCTGGATATAATGTCATATTCCTGGATATAATGTCAAACTCCTGGATATAATGTCATACTCCTGGATATAATGTCATACTCCTGGATATAATGTCAAACTCCTGGATATAATGTCATACTCTTGGATATAATGTCATACTCTTGTATACTTGAGAACTCCTGGATGTAATGTCATATTCTTGGAAATAATGTCATACTCTAAGAAATAATGTCACTGTTTGAATTAATATCATACTCCTGATATAGTCATACTCTTCCTGCTTTACTTTTATTATTTTACCAAGTAACAAACATGTTTTTATATCCAGCCTTAGTGACAAACGTAATAAAGACTAAGTGTTCAGTATCCAAATGTCAGGTCTACATTCTACAACTAGATCCAGTCAAAGTCTGATGAGCTTATAAATCATTAACATAATTTTTTAGAAATATCTGACAAATTACCTAATATTTTTTTTTATATTTCTTGTCTTTGGACAATCATAATATATCTTTACATGCATATCTAATAACAAACTTTAATATTTATGAAATATACTAGATGAAAAATTTGAATAAAATTATCATTAAGCTGACAAGGCTTTCAGCAGCAAGGCCCTAATATTGGTTATTTGATTCAGCGGTCTGTAGGTAACTATAATACATGTGCAATGATTTATGGGTAAAGGTGTGTGATAATACTTTTCTCTGTAACGATTGAACAGGTGGATTATTATTACAAAAGGGTAATTGATAGTACCTGATAGGTGTACTGGCTACAAGCTGTATAGTGTTATTAGTAACTTACCTGTAAGTGAATTTGTCCTCTATACAATAACTGTACCGAGTGAACCTAATGTGTTACATGTCAGGTGAACCTAGGTTTTAGCATGTTTAAATTTTCAAATGAACCTTAGTTTTAGCTGAACAAGTCATTAACAGAAATTCTCAAAATGCTGTTTTTGAAAAAAATCTGAAAATTTACAAACTTTTGTATTTTTTTGTGTCTATATACCAGTTTAATTTCATTCAAAATATTTCAAAAAATAACTTGTCATATGTAGTAATCGGGCTTTCAACAACAGGCCCCTGACGTTTGAAAATATTTTAATGTATATTCTTTGTGAAAACTGAACTGTTCCTCCTAAAATTATAATTCATGTCCATTGTATAAATTTCTGCATGTGCCATTGTTTAATTTTGATATTTCATAATTTTTGCTAGTGAGCCACAGTGCTGACAACTTTCAGCCAAGAAAAGTGGCAACTCATTGGGTGCCACCATAACAAACAGGAGTACGGAGCCGCTACCCCCAGGTCAGCCACTCCCGGGCGATGCCACGGCTGGCAACATGATCAAGCAGGGAGTCGTACAGGAGAAAATTTCCGACCTAACAACCATGAACCAGCTGCCGCCCCTAAGCACACTTCCCCAGTGGTCACGAATAAACACTCTGGATCGGGGCCGCTACCCTAAACCTTTTGTCAAGGACAAAGTGACAGGGGGTCCTGAGGGACGGAAAGAAGGAGAAGAGGAGGAGCGTGATGTTGACATATCTGAACTAAACCCCTCTCAGAGGATACACCACCTCGAGAGGAGCATCTTATTTCTTCGTCAACAGCACCAAGAAATCCTCAAGTCACTCCATGATGAGATTGAGATTCTCAAGAAGGAGAATAAAGGTATTTATAAATACATAGCACATTTAGTTCTTACTTTATAAGATCACCTGGCATAAAGCGCCTTTCAGTTTATCTTAAAAGGCAGCATCCATCATCCATCGCTCTGTCAAATTTTCCTTTGAACGGCTTCTTTTACAAAGCTGATAATCCAGCATCAGGGTAATTGGCCAGTAGGTGCCTGGGATGGATATTGCTATAGATAAAAGATACATACCTGCATGTACATACCTTCAAGGTCACAGGGGTCAATTAAGATAAAAAGCATTGGGTCTTAAAAGGGAAACGGTAAATATTCCTGTCTCATAACCATATGCAATTAAGGGCATAAAGATAGATAAAAGATCTATACCTACATGTACATACCTTCAAGGTCACTGGGGTCATTTAAGGTAAAAAGCATTGGGTCATAAAACGGAAATGGTAAAGATTCCTGTCCCATAACCGAATGCCATTAAGGGCATAAAAATACAAACATATAATCATGCTATCAGGGTTGGCCTACAGTCTGGCACAACCTCTAGCATCATAGCAACTGGAAACAATCGAGATTGGCCTACAGTCTGGCACAACCCCTAGCATCATAGGAACTGGAAACAATCAAGATTGGCCGACAGTCTCACACAACCCCTAGCATCATAGCAACTGGAACCAATCAAGATTGGCCTACAGTCTGGCACACCCCCTAGCATCATAGCAACTGGAAACAATTGAGATTGGCCTACAGTCTCGCACAACCCCTAGCATCATAGCAACTGGAAACAATCAAGATTGGCCTACAGTCTCACACAACCCCTAGCATCATAGCAACTGGAAACAATCGAGATTGGCCTACAGTCTCGCACAAACCCTAGCATCATAGCAACTGGAAACAATCAAGATTGGCCTACAGTCTGGCACAACCCCTAGCATCATAGCAACTGGAAACAATCGAGATTCCTACTCATTAACTATATACAGTCAGGCCAAACAAAATATATGTTTGTTTCAAGTAACAGGCCTGAAAAAATAGGGTAGGTCAGTAGGCAAATAATTTTATTTTAATGTTGAATTATTTGTGAATTAATATTATGCTTTATTTCAAATTTTACAATGCATTTCCACACATTATAATGGCTATTACTTTGTCAAGAATAAGGTCAGACTCCCAGAACCGGAAGAAAGTACATTTTAATGAGTGGATGTGAACTTTGTCTGGCTAATAAATTAATCATAGATACAAGAAGGTGATCAAATATCTAGGGTCGGCAGTAAAATCTAGGGTAGGTCGGGATACCTTAAACACACATATTTTTTGCTTAATCCTGGAGCTCTGTGTATACTACCTGGCCTCTGGGAATTAGTTCTTGCTGGATATGAAGACAAGCAGGCATGAATTTGCTCTAGGACTTGGCTCACATGCCTGTTGGCTCAATCCTAGGGTCATAACCCGGAAATGGTTGAGATCCCAACTGCAATTACCAAATGCAAATCTATACCAATAATTATATCAACCAGATATCTAGATTTACTATAATTTAGCATCCTTGGGATAAGAGAGACAGAGCTAAAAAAATTAGGAATATTAATTTCATTACCAAGATTTTCAAATCTCCTGGTCAGGTATACAAGTTCTCCGACTTCTTGCCATACCTCCTGCTCCTTTTCATCTTCCTCTTCATCCTACTTCTCCCCCTCCTTCTCACTCCCCCCTGCCTCTTTTACTAATCTTACCTTTACACAAATCTTGTCAAATTTAATCAATTGCCAAGAAACACAATGCTCCTACCATGGATATTTCCATGGTATCTGAATTATTCAAATTAATTATTTTTTTCTCTTTTTAATTTACATCTCTTTAAATATTCCAAGAACTACCAACTGATGTGGAATATGACCTTTTTGAAATTACACATATACATGTATACAAGATTGTTTTTGGTGAAATTATTGAAGTATGGTGAAGAAATGTACATTTCCCTTTTGTTGATTCTGTTTGAAGTAATGAAGGAAGATGTTAATAGCTTGGGTTGGGAATTAAGTGAAAGATTGGACGATTAATAGCCTGACTCTGTGGTGTCGTTATTAACTAGGCAAGCTTGTTTGATGTATGATCCAATTTGCTATATCCATAAAATATGTCAGGGGACTGGAAACCTCATCAATACTTGATCACAAACGAGCTTACCTGGATTCTACCTGAGGATGAAAGTGATGGAAATAGACATCCTTACCTGACTATGTTTAATTAACTTTTTCACCTCGGCTACCACTACTGGTAGGTAACAAGTCTCAGATGATATCTCCCATATACATGAACAGCTTTATGTTTGCCTTCCTAACTTACTATAGTATACTGTGAAATCAGTAATATTTGTTGAGTTTTTAACTTCATTGATTTCGTGAGTACTCTTCTTCCAAGAATTCATAGGTCCACGCAAAATAGTTACAAGTTTGATATAAAGCTATTCTCTGTATGCATGAACCCACTTAATGGTGTTTTTTTGGGAAACCACAAAAATTTGGGCCCCACAAAAATGTCTTATTTCACAATATATTTCCTGTCTTCATAAACATTTTCTTAGTAATTAGCTCGTCTATTCGGTGCCTGCGTCCTACTTCACTGGGGTTTAAGTTTTTGGGCAAGTTTTTTCCAGACAGTTTTAGATCATCACACTCAATACGCTGTTGTCTATTATAAGGTTGAGGCATTTATATGGAGTGCAAGCAATGTGCTAAACCATATTTTCATATCTGTGGGGCGAAAACAGTTTACTTGGACTTAGTTAAAGTTTTTAGGCAAGTTTGCATGTGCAGTGTTGGATCGGTCACCACCATCAATACGCTGTTGACTATTTCACATTGTCTGGTCAATTCTTCTTTTGAAATGTAAATCATATTAACGTATATAAAGGAATTCTTAAGAAAAGCATAATTAAAGCTGACAGTTTGGTCCTGATATCAAGGTCACAGAGAACAATAACAATATCCGAAGAACCATTCAGACTAGAATCATGATACTTGGGTATGCATTGTAGACCAGCAGTATGAATCTTTTTCTTAATTACAGTAATGAGGTCAAAGGTCAACTTTAAGTGCTAGTCAGGGGTCAAAGGTCAACATTGGTTTAAAGCTGTAACAATCAATCTTCTTCTCAAGTTCCATAAAGCCAAGGGTCATGATTTTGGCCAGTAGTTACCTGGGATGGAGTGCTATAAAACTTCCTCATTAAAATTACCTTGACCTAATTTCAAGGTCACAGGGGTCAAATATGTTAAAAACTTCAAACAACAATATCTTATGAACCATTTGGTCTAGAGTCATGATACTTGGGTATGTTATGTAGACCAGCTGTGTGAATCATTCTCTGTATAACAGTAATGAGGTCCAAGGTCAACTCTAAGTGCTAGCCGGAGTCAAAGGTCAGTGTGGGTTAAAAGCTTTAAAATTAAAATTTCAAATTTCAAATAACAATATCTTAAGAACCGTTTAAAAGATGTTAAAATGTCCTGTCTTCTAGTTACCAAATTTGGTCTGAAGTTACCTATATGTCAATTTTAAATTAGAACAGGTAGTGGCGTAGGAATATGTTCCGCACAGTTTTGATCAATCGCAGTAGGTTTTATTACACATGTGTAAATATTTATATGATAAATGTGCTAACAAGTGTTTCTTTGGACGTTTTCAATTGGAGTTGTCCCCGTTAATGATTTTCACTAATACATTTTTGACCATTAATGGATAGTTTTATTATATCATGGGGTTTTTGTAGACGATCATATAGGGAAAGAAACTTAATCGGAATTATATTATAACAAATGTGGTACCTCTGTGTTTGAAAATGTTCACAGTCACTGATGCATCAATTCACCAATTATTTCAGGATGTACGAAAAACATAGATTCATATCAGTTCACTGTAGTTCTCAGGTAGTTATCTCTACATTGTAAATATTTAATGTAATAAGCAAACGGTGCGTAACCCATTGTTTACATCATAAACACTTCCTGTAGACAGTATCACACTTGTTATCGTATTGAACCACTCGAGCGTGACATTTTGTGGTGAATATTTTGTGTTTGTTTTATCGGTCAGGGTCAGAGACCAATCAGGTGTTGTGGGAAATGATGTTGCTTAACCCTTTCACCACTGTAGACCATAATGGACTCATCCAGATCAATGCATGGTAGAGTCTACTTAAGTTACATAGGGGTGAAAGGGTAAAGTACCTTAGCTATATTTAGATTCATTTGTTCTACAGGTCAAGGTCATAACAACAGATGTGGTGGGAAAATATATACATGTACCAATGGCCCTAATTAGTGTTGAAGGTTCCATTCCAAGTCGCATCAATACATGCCAATGTCTTTATCTGTAGTACCATGGTAGTTATTCCACGCTGCTTAACGTTCAGCGTTTAGAGTTATCACAACAATTGGTTAACCCAAGTTAGTATAATGTGATTGGGTGGAATACTGTGCTGGGTACAGTTGGCATGGTATCTCAGTGAGGTAGCACTCTTGAAGTCAGCAACAGATCTGCGCTATCGCAAAGAGGCAACCACACCAACATTCTGCCTCCAGTGCACATGCATACATTACACACATGGAGGCACATCCATAAATGACCTTAGCTGGTAATCAGCATTTAGGGTAAACACAACTACTTGTTTACCTGTTGTCATTACTGTATAATGTGACCAGATGGAGTACAGTGCTGGGTCACCTCAGTGTGGTACATCAGTGAGATAGCACCATAAAGTCGGCATCAGATCTGCGCTATCAAATAGAAGCAACTACATCAACATACCACCTCCAGCACACATTGCATACATTAGACACTTGCTTAGGCACACATCCTGGAATGACCTTAGCTTTTAACACAATTTTAAACACTATAAACCGAAACGAACGGTACCTTTATGTTGATTTGTTATTTGAGTCAAATTCACTCATTCACCCCTGATTTCATAATCAACTATTCCAACCTTTGAGATTGTAAGAGTTCAAATGTGTCTTCAGAGGGGAGTGAGGTCATAAATAAAATGGATATTACATTGTCATAGCACAAAATATAATCATAACATGTGTAATGTTAACAGTGTAATCAGTTATGATTCCATACTGGTTACTTTTTAGCTCACCTGGTCCGAAGGACCATGGTGAGCTTATACCATATCACAGTGTCTGTTGTCCGTCCGTCCGTCAACTTTTCCTTTAAAACGCTACTAGTCATGAACGACTGAGCAGATTTTGAACAAATTTGGTCGGAAGCCTTTTTTAGGGGAAGGGGAACAAATTTTGTGTATATGATGGGTCTGGCCCCCCTAGGGGCTGAGGGGCGGGGCCCTATAGGGGAAATATAGCAAATTCTTTAAAATCCTTCTTATTCTGTAGGAATGAAAGGATTTGTTCCATATTTGGTCTGAAGCATCCTTGGGAAAAGGGGAACCAATTTTGTTTAAACCGTGGGGCTGAGGGGCGGGGCCCAATAGGTTAAATATAGCAAATTCTTAAAAATCCTTCTTCTTCTGTAGGAATGAAAGGATTAGTTCTATATTTGGTCTGAGGCATCCTTGGGTGAAGGGAAACCAATTTTGTATAAACCGTGGATCTGGCACCGAGGTGCCTGAGGGGCAGGGCCCAATAGGGGAAATATAGCAAATTATTCTTTAAAATCCTTCTTCTTCTGTAGGAATGAAAGGATTTGGTCCATAATTGGTCAGAAGCATCCTTGGGTAAAGGGGAACCAATTTCGTATTTATATAAACCGTGGGTCTGGCCACCTAGGGGCCTGAAAGGCGGGGCCCAATAGGGGAAACATAGCAAATTATTCTTTAAAATTATTATTCTTCTGTAGGAATGAAAAGATTTGGTCCATATTTGGTATGAAGCATCCTTGGGTAAAGGGGAACCAATTTTGTATAAACGGTGGGTGTGGCCCCTTTGGGACCTGAGGGGGGGGGGCCCAATAAGGGAAATATAGGTAAAACCTTTATAATCCCACTTCTACCATAGGGATTAAGGGATATTTTCCTAATTAAGTCTGGAACATCCTTAGGCAAAAAGGACTCAATTTCGTATAAACAGCGAGTGTGGCCCCTCTGTAGGCAGAAGGGAGGGACCCAATAGGGGAAACATAGCAAATTCTTCAAAATCCTTCTTCTTCTGTAGGAATGACAGGATTTTGTCCAAATTTGGTATGAAGCAGCCTTGGGTGAAGGGGAAACAACTGTATATAAGCAGTGGGTGTGGCCTCCCAGGGGGCAGAAGGGCGGGTCTCAATTGGAGAAATAGAGGTAAAACCTTTAAAATCCTTCTTCGACCATCAGGATTATAGGATTTTATCCTTATTTAGTCTGGAGCATCATTGGACCAAGGGGACTCAATTTTGTATAATTGGTGGGTATGACCCCCCTAGGTTGCATAGGGGTGGGGCTCTATTTGAAGTTTGTTCTCGCTATATCTCAAGTACTGGATGGATCTTTCTGAAATTTCATATGTACTTACAGCACCTACTTCATACCAATTATTTTAAACATATTCAGGTGAGCAATATAGGCCCTCTGGGCCTCTTTTTTTCAGATTTATATTCTAAACTATGGTGTTTCCAAAAAACCTAAATCATGGAAATCAAATAATTCAAAAGACAGGTTTCTTTTTTTTTAATTATCTGTTACATGTATATATTATATTATGCTTTATTTTTTTTCAGATTTGCATTTTAAAATTGTGATGTCCCAGAAACAGCATCAGGAAAAACAAACTGCCAACAGTCAGCATGAAAGTTCTAAAGAACGCTCCAGGAACGAAGGCAATTCTCGTGCTCTCGAGAAAGGTAACATAGGCAGCCATTTTGGAATATCTCTTCTTTTCTGTTTCCGTATATCTTTCAAGTTAACCCTTTCACCACTGTAAACCGTAATGGACTCATCCATATCAACGCATGGTAGAGTCCACTAAAGTTACATAGGGGTGAAAGGGTTAACTTTTACCAAGTATACACCATTTTCCTGTCATTTTCACGACATTTTCAGGATGTATGTGTTTGTGTCTGCTCTGTCGTTTGACCGATATTCTGGTGGTCTAGTTCAAAACGTCATCAATATCTCGTACGGGAGACTCCTATTGCCGGAGAGAATCTCTAGATCCTCCAAAGAGTTACCCTTGTTTATGCAGTATATAAATTCCTTTGGTGTGCTTTACTTAAATATTCTGCTGTGATAATCCTATATCTAGCTTTCAACCCATCCTACAGTTCTATTCAACTCCATTGATAAAGATAAGAACTATCGTTTGCATATAGTGTAGAATCTCTGACCCCATTACCTCTTTGATTGCTTTTTTCCTCAACATTGATGAGACCCCTTTGGCTTTGTTCAGGCAAATTATGGTTCTGAGACTTTTCTTTTTGTTTCCACTGTTGCTCTCTGAATTATGATTTTACAATTTATCTTTATGATATATACTTCATCACCTCTTTATCTTTATGATATATTTCATCATCTCTTTTCTATTTTCATTTCATATCAATCAGAATGATTGACCATTTATTCCATTTTTCTTATTTTATTTTTCACAACAGTAATTCAAATTTAACATTGAAGTTGACCCTATAAATTCAGTTATGATCTTATGTGTGAAACCATTTTTGCGAGGAGTGCTCTTTGCTTCTACTTGTAGCATTGCAATCTAAAAAAACACACCATTTACGAGAGTCTTTATATAAAGTTTCTTAAACAGGACGGTTGTGAAGATATACTTGTGTTACAAAGCCTATTTCTAGGAATTTTTTCAAACAGGATGTTTGTGAGGATTTATACAAATAGATCGGTGTCGTTTGCCCTATTTCTCCATTCTAATAGAGAGCATAATTTTATCCTGTACAGTTTCACATTTGATTTACATCTTACTGATGATAATATAAGCATTAAAATTTTCGTCTTGCATTGATTTCTTTCCTATCAAGTTGCAAAGGGAATCATGGGTATTGGGTATAGACAGACAAATCTCATTTCCATCAAAGCTGTTCTGTCTGTATTGTTTGGTTAATATTTGGATTAAAGTTTTGCATGTGCATGACTAAGGCATGAACTTGACGTATGATGTTGTTAAAGATAGATTAATTAATTGCCTAATTTTAAATCTAAATCTTCAAGCAGTTAATTAATGTGATATGAATTTTAACAACATTGACCATCAAAAATCTACAAAAAAGGTGTTTATGAATAATTTGCTTCATTGAAGAAAAGAGCACTGCCACCATTAACCCTTTAAAATAGAACTTCAAGATTTCTGGACAATATTGAAATAGCAAGTTATCTGTCTACAATGTTGGGTTGTGGTAAACAGTTTAATGGTCAATGCTTAACTCACTCACCCCTGAAGACAAATTTGAACTCTTCCAATTCAAAGGCTGGAATAGTTCATTATGAAATTTCAGGGGGTGAATGAGTTAATTTACAATCACCATTTATCAATTGCTTGATTAAAACTTATAATATTCTTTAATTCAATATTTCACTCAAATTTTAATTTTGATTTCAAAACTTACTCCTTATTCAAGCATGTTTGTGTTTCTATGTTGTGTTAATTTTCATTTCAACTATTTGTTTTAATCTTTTTAATAAGCTTTGTTGTTGTTGAATTTCCAATACCCAAATATATGTACAGCACAAAACTTTTATATATTTCTCTATTTCATTTCTTATTATGCACTCTGTAAAAAGTTTCTCAAAACCAAGACACATAAACAATTTATTGTCTAAGAATAACTTTTAATGTACCGGTAGCTCTTTCTGACCTATGTTACTGTTACATGTATTATGAATTATGAAACAATTTTCAAAAAGAGGTTAGAGGACTTCTTTAATCTGAACAAAAAATTTCCAAAGGAAATGAAAAAAAAAAACACTAAAAAAAAAACCACAAAGAAAATTGAAAAAAAAACACCAGGAAATTTACAAACAAAAAAACCCCTAGAAAATGAAAAAATATAAATAATAATAATTAGAAATTGGAAAACTTGTATATCTTTTTCATCAACTTTACTTGATTTGATCTTATTCATGAAAGTAACGTCAGTAAATTGTTTACGTATTATGAACACATCCCAGAGCTATATACCCTCTACTCAAACCCTTCCCTTCAGCACACTTTTATCAGGTGAACATAGGTAGTTCTGGCACAAACATCCTCAAAAAATAAAAAAAGGATTTTTTTCCATGAAAATTAAGCATTATAATTCCATCAAAACCAAAACAGTACAACCCTTTATTACTAATTTAATCATTTTTGAGATAAAGAAATTACCTTGTACAGGAGCAAACAAAAACCACACACAGCACGTCACTGATCCAGTCGTCTCATAGAAACAATGTCCAAGGCTGTACCTACCCACCATGATTTTGTGATTTTTTGTCAGATCCCATTCCTTTAAGTTTGGCATTTTATTCTAGATAAGTTTTTGTGAAATAATGTATAACCATCAGATAAATTATTTGTCTTAATCTGTCATCAATTTCACAGTCATTCCCTAGTTATTTAATGTATCTGATGAAAGGGAAAGATCAATATTTTTTTAATTTTATTTTTTAATGCTCTATAATACAGCTTTCCATTTGAAGAGAAATTTAACTTTACACCCTGTAATTTGGCATATTGCATCACATTACACCACTTCACTACAAAAACTAGGTAAACAAATACATGAACTGCTGTAAAACCTGTCTGATCTGACCCACTTGAATTCTGACAACCTATCTAATCTGACCCCTGAGTGTTCTGACATCCTGTTAAATAAGATCTTATAAAAAACCTCCTACCAAAATAAAATCTGTCTATTCTGCTGACCTACCTAATGCAACTGATCTGTTGGAACCCACAGGTTGTCAGATTAGACAGTTTCCTCTTCTACACACACTCACGTCAGCCCCTCCTCATCCCGACATTGACTTTATAAACCTTTGCACTAATATAAACCCATGGCATGTTTTCTTTTCAGAATATTCCTCCAATTCTCTCATCTCTCAAACTCTAGAATTAAGTAGCTCCGCCGGCCGTTCCCGTGGTAAGCCCTCATTGCTATTTTTCACAGTTGCACAACCACAGTCTGATCAAGGTCAGAACACACCCAGACCAGACGTTGGGTCAAATTTTTTACAAACGTTTCACTCCCAAAGGCTTAAAATTGATAGAAAATATGTGGGAGTTAGGGATAAGGGGGAAAAAAATAGAAAAAAATGAAGAAAGCAAAATATCTATGAAACTGTGGTAAACAGTTTTATGATTTCTTACCTGTTAATTAATATAAAAAAAAAAAAAAAAAATCACACAAAATGGATATACCTCTCAATTTTTTTATCAATACCAAGAACATTGAAAATATAGCTGCCATAATTTTTAGCTGAATGAAAACTCTAAAACTTAAATTTGATATTTAAAATAGGCTTTTAAAATTTAAAGTTACAATTTAAATTGGGAAACTTCTACTAGTTAAGAGACTATTGAGTTACAATTAAGTTCTAATCCAAATTCAACTGCCTTATATTTAAAGTGCTGATAGTAGGGAGATAAAATGTTTGGTAATTACTTGCAGATATGACATGTTGAGACATTTTGCAACAATTAGATGATAACCGTTGAAAAACAAGCTTATTAGGATTTGTTAAGCTAACAAAGCCTTTTTGCAACTATAAGTCAAGAATCAAGTATTTTAAAGCATGGTTAGCTTCTTGGCAACTTTTGAAACAATTTCTATCTGCCAAGTTTTCATACATATAAGAATTTATTATTAATATGATTGTTGAAGCATTCAAAATCATCATTTAAGGAAAAAAGTTGTAAATTAAAAAAAAAAAAATATTTAAAATCGTTCATTTAAATGCGAGTGTAAAAAACATATAATGATGAAATTTGTGAATGGTTATTGCTGTGGTCTGAGATATTATTGTACACTGATCCAGTGGAAGAGACCAAGAAACGGTTACAAGCAGGTAAAGTGTGGAGAGTTTGAGTCCTCGTCCAGCAATCACGACGAACCTCATTTACACTTGTTCATGCATTCACCAGTATTTTGCGGATGATTATTTCCGATAATATCTGTCCAGCTTTATTTATACTTGATATGATTGACATACAAACTTAAGTCAAATACTTTTTTCTACTCGATCTCACTATATATTGAACCTAATGCATGTCCTTTTTTGTCACATTAATCATAAGTATATGTGTCTTTTGAGTGACTACTTACAAAATTCATACCAGGAAATATTAGTGGGGATTTTTGAGTGTCCCATGAATTAACTGTCTGATTTTCAAATATTATAAGAAGTTTCGTTCTAACTGACCAACACAAATCTCCATTATTCACCCTAATACAGCGTGCTCAGTTTTCAGTCGACATTCATCACAACTATTTGATCTTTACAGAGTTTGATGTTGTTTCTTCTCCAATCCCTCCTCTGAACTTCAATTTCTCAAATTAATTTACAGGAATTGTTCTCCTGAGATTTCTTTTTGTTAATTTCTTACCTGCATACATTTTTTGGCTTATTTTTGTGATGTTGTAAAAATAATTAACAACTTTTTATTGTCTTTTTAGTGCCTTTTCCAATTAAGTAAAAAAAAGATTTTGAAATTGATTTAGTACAATACAGAGTAATTAGGAATAAATGCAGTTGAAATGACAACAAACTGCTAGTAAAAATGTTGTGTTTTTTTTGTTTTGTTTTTTTGAGAAATGGGAGTTTGGTCTGTGTATGTTGGCAATAAAGTATCCCCTTTTAAGCTCACCGGGTCTGAAGGACCATGGTGAGCTTATGCCATAACGCACCGTCCGTCAACTTTTCCTTTAAAACGCTACTAGCCCTGAACGGCCAAGTAGATTTTGACTAAATTTTGTTTGGAGCATCCTTAGGCCAAGGGGACTCAATTGTGTATAAACCCCCTGGGGGCAGAGGGGCAGGATCAAATAGGGGAAATAGAGGTAAAACCTTTAAAATACTTCTTCTACTGATGACATTAAAGGATTTTATCCTAATTTAGTTTGGAGCATCCTTTGGCCAAGAAACTAAATTTTGTATAAACAGTGAATGTGGCAACATCTGTCTATTTCAACTTCAATTTTGCAAACATTACCAGGTGAGCGATACAGGCCCTTTGGGCCTCTTGTTTTAACTTGAACTTTCAGCTCCAGGATGTAAAAACACTTTTTTATTTTTCAAAACATCACATGCATATTTGTAATAGATTAATTTGTATGGTGCTAGATGCTTGTACAAATCCTTCTCCTATAAGTAAGTTACAAGTATATGTGGCTCAAACATCAGCAATTCAATACAAAGATAGAAGTTTTAGAAATAATTAATTTTCGATCTGTGAAATCTGAATTGATTGTTTTATATAATCTGAATCTCAGAATAAATTTAAATGATTTATTTGAATTATGAAATCTGAAACAGGGAATTTAGGTAACAGTGTGTAAATTGCTTCCGATTTCAGTGTTGATGTAGATTTTCAAATTAATTTTGAATTATTTTTTTGTTTTAAAGTGATTGAAATTATTTATTATAATTTGTATCAGTAATTTATAGAAAAGATTTAATTTCTCATTCATCTTGTTCTATTTGATGGACAAAATTTGTAGAATGTTCTCCTCTTTCAACGAATGTACGGTATATTATGCATATAGTCATGGCCTGCTTATAGCTTTGTTTCTATGGTAACAGAGGATCGGCTGGATGAGCTCAAGATCATCTTTCTGGAGGAGGAGATAAAGGAGCTGAAACACGCACTCCGTGACCTCAAAAACCGTAATAGCTTCTTCTCACAGAGGTTGGAACAGGAAGAGGAACTCAAGAAAAAGCAGTGAGTATTTTGTTAAGGGTCTAATACCGTGTATACAAATCTCCTGGTATTGATGAAGCCTGTACTAATACCGTGTATACAAATCTCCTGGTATTGATGAAGCCTGTACTAATACCGTGTATACAAATCTCCTGGTATTGATGAAGCCTGTACTAATACCGTGTATACAAATCTCCTGGTATTGATGAAGCCTGTACTAATACCGTGTATACAAATCTCCTGGTATTGATGAAGCCTGTACTAATACCGTGTATACAAATCTCCTGGTATTGATGAAGCCTGTACTAATACCGTGTATACAAATCTCCTGGTATTGATGAAGCCTGTACTAATACCGTGTATACAAATCTCCTGGTATTGATGAAGCCTGTACTAATACCGTGTATACAAATCTCCTGGTATTGATGAAGCCTGTACTAATACCGTGTATACAAATCTCCTGGTATTGATGAAGCCTGTACTAATACCGTGTATACAAATCTCCTGGTATTGATGAAGCCTGTACTAATACCGTGTATACAAATCTCCTGGTATTGATGTTTCCTATACCACAGCCAGAAACTGTTAATGTATATGCATTGGAAAATATTTTCCTGGCATGGCTATAGTTTAAATTAATCATTGCTGAAAAGAATAACCATACTTTACGAAACTTTTATGAAAAATTATGAAAGATTAAATAAACAAGAAAATTCAACAGTTTTAATATTCTGAATGTAAAAATGCAAATAGGCTGGACCAGGATTCGAACCCGGGACCTTCATTCATAATCCTGACGCTCAAACTTACTGAATTACCTGGTCAATAGTAAGAACCCTTACCTAGTCATACTACCTTTACATACAAAACAATATTAAAGGGAGACTACTCTATGTACAAAAACCTACTATAGAATTCTCCAGTGTTTTGCCTGCAGTGGGACAGCTATCACACATTATTACAGTACAAGTTGTTGCACCTTGGACAATAATGTTTAGAAGTCATTTGTTAAGAGTTGTCAGGTGGTGACCATCTAACTTTAAAATAGTAAGTATCAAATAAGAGGACAAAATGGCGACGACCTTGCAGCAGCCACCTGTTATTATTTGTAATTATATCAGGAGAGTTGCCTCTACGATACAATTTTAAAAAGCATACTAGGCCATGTCTCAATCAGTGTTTTCAAGAGCAGTTTGGGTGGAAGACAAAAGCAGCATGTGCTTATTTATCTAAGATACAAAATGCAGTCAGCAAAGACTCAAAAGGTTAATAAAATCATTTTCGGGGTGAAGTTCAAACAAGTTCAATATTCTTTATGTATACTTACAGACAGGCCAAGATTGAGAGTCTACAGTACCAGGTAGCACAGGGAGGGGGCCCGATGGCCGAGAAAATCGCCGCTGGTAACCTCAACATCTTCAGCAACCCAAACCGTCCACCGACCTTGACAGAGTGCGAGGTTGTCATTCGACATCTACAGTCCATCAATGAGCAGCAGACACATGAGGTATAACACCAGTACTGATAGGTTGAATAGGTACATGTGGCACAGAAATATTCCATGATAAACGAACGCACTTGGACCGTTCTATAAGCAGAGCTAAAAATGCAGTTTCGGAGAATAAAAAACAATGTATCAATAATAGTATGCCCTTCTTTCAGGCTTCCACTGAATGACATAACGTATCTTAAAAACTACATGTGACTTGACATTGTTTAAGAAAGAAATAACGCAAACTGGCAATAGTCAGCATTTAAGTTTCGGTCAGGCACGTCTAATGGACCCCTCAATCTACACGTGCCAAATTTTCCTGAGGTCAGCCTCGGTTCAGACTTGTGCCTGTCGTTTTTCTTTACAGTTTCAACCGGATACGCGAATGTACCCCTGTTAGTACTTAGATTCTGGAAACAATGTCTGTCATTGGTTTATTATGTTATGTACACCAGATGATATCATTATATTAAAGCCCACCATAAAAAAAGGAGCATGGTTTGTTGTGCTCCGAAACATCAAACCAATAACAGTCATGACAATATTCTAAAATTACATAAGAATTTGAGTTAGTCCTGATTGCCTTAATTATTTTAAACTGAATGTTGTTTTAACAGCTGGATCGCCTAAAGTCAGACCTGCGTGACGTGTTGTACTCACACAAATGGACGCCTGATGCCTACCTACTTGCCAAGGCTTACATTGCTGAAGATGACGCCAAGGACAAGGATGGAAAGGCACTTCCGAAACTTAAAAACCCTTCCAGGAAATTGTAAGTTATCCAACCAATAAATCAAATTAATCATTGAAAACAGCATGAAGCTTTCATCATTTATCTGAATTTAACCCAGATAAAAAATAAACAGGAAAAAAGTTGACATTTCTACCATCAAGTTAATACTACATATAACAAAAAGGCAAAATGCTAATTTTTCAAAATTAAGTCCTAGAAATTTAAGTCTGTCTCCTTTAATTCATAGAAAATTGTAAATTTTGAAACCTGACATTCAGTTTTTTTCAGAAAAATCAAATACCTTATTATTTAACTTATGTTCTTAAAAGAAAACTTCCTCTTTTCAGGATTTTTTTTTTTTTTCCGTAAGCGAAAGTAAAACCATTCAGAAAATCTAAAAGCAAACCCAAATGCTACGGAAATTAATATAAAACTGTTTGTATCACTTGTGAGAGTCTAATTTTTCTCTATGTTTGTGAATGTGTTTTGATATCCACAGTATTCAAAAACTCTCTTTTTTTTTTTTTTTTGCAGACCAGATATTGCGTACATCCAAAGAGACACTGTGAATCTACCGGCACTAAAGCAGACAGTTAGTAACAAGGCCATAGAGCGACGTAAACGTACCCAGATTCTCCAGAAAGCTCGCTTACATAAAGAAATTCTACCCTAGTATCCCATAGTAGTTAGTAAGACGGTGAAATACTGCAGCATAGACAGGCCCGGACCCTGTGGAAGGCTCGCCAATAAATACAAAGGAATTCCTAGTGTTGATGATGTAGACTATCCGTACAAATACAGAATTTGTTGGATGACATGTTAATTATAACAAAAATGTGAAGTTTTGCTAAATGGAAACCTGGGTAACATGATTAAGCTGATAAATGATTAGCTGAACGAGAGCATGAACCCTGGATTTGTAAATTTGTATGTGCATGTATCATGTATATCAAACACTAGACAATTTCTCAACAATGTGTGCCTATCTCTCACCTTACCGGGGATATCCTTTATATTACAACGTGAGAAAACTATTTCAAAGATAATATTGGAAACATTTTACAAGTTCTCCTTGTCCTCTGAAACTTGGAGTAGGAGAAATAGATCTGTCGTGTTGTTGAATATGAAGAGAAGGGAGGTAACTCCCATACATGTTTTTTCTGACTGTTGCCATGGTGTCCATTGTGCCTCCCTGTGTTCCACCATTCAACATTGATTATCATTATCCAGGCCTAACTGTTCTACTGAAATTCACTTATTATATGCAAGGAATCAATTTTAAATTAAATTTCCGCCAAATGAATACACGTTGCAAAACATTATGTTGGTCGTCCAGCTTCAGAATGATCTGTAATGAAATAGTCTTATGCAACATTATATTAGGTCATAGTCCCATCAACATTACAATGGTTAAAAGCTTTGATTGACTGTGGTATTTCATTTGGTCCAGAAGTTTGCTAAATTTGATACTTATAGCGTATTACCTGGTTTGTCCAAAAATGATTTCAAGCAAACATGTGAAATTACAAATTTGCGTTTAATGTAATATGATACATTAAAATATACGTAACTTTAATAGAATTCACCTCTTGAGGTCGAGCATCGAGATCTTAAAAGATAATTTTCCTTATTTCGGATAAACAAGTTTTATTATCAAATTTTATTATTATGCTCAGGAATAAATTCTTTCAAAACCAAATTCGTGTGCAAAGAATTTGTTGTTAGATATATGTGAGATTAAATTTTGTAAAATTATGTACATTTTTTATACTTAAAATGTTACATGTCAGATTGAAACAAAGATGGAATGGAAAATTCTTTGTACATTTCTATTTGTTTATCCGACAATCTAGTTTTAAAGGATCAAGTAGAATTCCATTCAGCACCCTAACATAACACATGTTCTAAGTGATTTTCAGTAGATATTCAGTGTATCATTGACCATACTATACAAAATGTAAGAAATCTGTAGTGTTTGGATATGTATGGTGAATGTGACCATAAATGTATGTAACAGTCATTTTTCGTTAGATAATGCATAGGCCATACTTTAGAATAAGAAATCGGAAGTGTTAGGATTTTTGTATGGTGAAATTTACATATTTGTATATTAAAGTATTTTTTTGTAGATGTCTGCTCAACTGAAAGTCTATACCAAGTGTAATTAGAGTCCTGTGATCAGATCCATTCAGGTTGTGTATCTTTTAAGTGTGTTCTCCTATTTCTGAGTGTAGCTTTTCTGATAGTGGAATGGTTCTGAAAAAATGTTCTGTCAGAGTATTTTGCGCAGTAAGTGTACAAACTTGTAAATAAACAAGTTATGATATAACTTTTGACAAAGTTTCCATCTTATGTTAAGTGTTTCCTGGATGTTATAAGTAGGTGTTTTAGAATGAAATTGTTATTCGTGAAAATAAATATGTATTTGATGTTATCAAAATCTAGGAAGTATGGGATTGAATAAGTTTGTAATAGATGATATGGAAATAGTTTCATATTAAGTCCAAAAACAAATCTACAGTTCTACCAAAGAAAATTTCAAGCCATCCATCAAGCCCATATATTTCAACTGTAATATATTTCTGTAACAGCCTTCCCGATCTACCAATAAGCTCCCACAGGAAGTCGGATTAGATAGGGTTCACTGTATGTATAGTCGGATTAGGTAGGGCTCACTGTATACAGACAGTTAGCATTAGGTATGTTTATAACCCTGAGAGGAGCAAATCTCTATACCAACAGTAGCTAAATGGTGAGCATTTATGATAAAGAATAATTACAGCAAACAGTCAGACGGATTTATGATAAATCTGCATCTTTTTTCTTATTTTAGCCGGCTTTTAGCTTTTATGTCGTATCTGCCAGCTCTTCATGATGTTCAAACAATTTTTCCAAAAATAATATTTTTTCTAAATTTTAGTATTTGTCACATGTGCTTTAATGCTTGTTTTATATTTAAATGCAACAAATAATTTATCATAAAAATTAAAATGTCAAGATGAATTTTTACATTTACTGTACTGTGATTTATCCTCATTAAGCTCAGTCTCCCTAGTCCTAATGAGTCAAAGTATTGGATATTCTGGGATTCGATGTTACTACATATGTAGTTAAGGGTTAACCTCTATATTGATGTGTCCAGTTTCTGTTAATTTGTTTAACAAGGGAGGGGAGTCCACAGGCTTATTAACAGGCAAGGGCTTATTACTGGTAAAATACTGGGATACATCCAATCTGCGATCTCGTACATTTAAGATGTGGTTTAAATCTCATAACGCAGTGTTAGTAAGGACATTATTAACTGGTTTTTGTATGTCGTGTAATCATTCCTCCCTCGCGTGTGTGTGTATCTATATTATGTACTGGCATTTCTATGGAAAACATGCTCACACAACATAATTATATGCATACTGATGATAATTACAATGTGTTCTGTCTATCTCAACTTTTTCCCCTTAAATAGAATGAAAATCAAATTAAATGTATTCATATCAACTATGTCTTGCTTGTTCATTTATCTTGAATAAGTTTACAAAACAAAATATCTGAATGGAATAGGAGACGCACAGTCATTCGCAAATTTCCGCTGCAGAAAAACAAAAGCAATATAAAAAGACTGATTTAATATGTTTATTACAGTCATGACATAGTCATATACATTTACATGTAGAGACTGTAAAATATATCACTTTGTGGCAGTATTTGGAGACAAAAAATGTACACCATGATCACTGATAATCTTACACTAATGGTCCGAGACTCCATCTACGAGTGACTGACGAGATGTTCTCCCACCCTTCACAGGTGTATCTTTCGTTTTAGCCGGGAAAGATCAGCTTGTCCCTCCCTAGGGGGAGATAGCCTCGTGCCGATTAGCATGTGTTCAATTGTGGCGTCATCAAAAGTGAATGACAATATTCATACCCCACATGTGTTTTGTTTACAAACATGGCAGACTACTGTCGATGGAGTTGTGACTGAAATAATAGGATGGGAGAAAATAATCATCCCCTCCCTTGAGGGTGTAACAGAGAAATCTCCAACCCTCGGATTGATTTTTTTTCTTTCTAACACTCGGCAGAGCCTCGGGCAGGTTAGACAACCAAAAATCATGAGCCCTCGGGTTGGAGCTTTCTCCGTCACACCCTCAAGGTAGGGGAAAGATTCTATTGATTATTCTCATAAAAAGCTACTGAATACTCTCGTACACTGTTCACAACATAAATCTATCCCGTATTTTTCAATGGACAAAGAAGTATTACGTTTTGATTATGTTCATCAAGGAACAGCTTCAGTGTTCTGTGATACCACTTCATCCCTGAAGTTGCAGTGTATATTAAATAATAGTGATTTTAATACTAGCACTGATGACTGTATCCAAACATTAGGTGATGGTGAGTGTTAATGTTTCACCACGTTCTGTAATGAGAACCAAACCACAGTGCATGCCTGTATCATTTCCCCCCCATGGAAAAGACATGTCTCTTTATTAGGTATGACACATTCACATCAGGTCAGTTGTTCGAGGGCAGACACCAACAGCATCATCCAGAAAAGTCATTTAGTATCTGGTTTTAAAGGTAAAGAAACTTGTTTCTAATTTTCATCCACCATTTGTCCACTTTTCCAATGTCACTGGTTCTATTGTTAATCTGATGACGCTTCTGTTAAGATGTTTACTTGCAGGACAAGAGTAATAAACAGGTTCTAATCACTTCCTGATCAACACAGATGAGAACAAAACCATTGTTGACTCGCACTGGGATCCTCCGACATTCAATACTGAATATTTGAGGTCACTTTTACAAAGATCAGGGTCAGAGGTCACTGATTACAATTCCTTAAGTTGTACAGTTCATTGTCCAAGCGTAGTCGGTGATGCTGATTTTTTACAAAGTCTAGCTAACATCCCTGAGAGCTGTAGTAACGAGCTGACACCCTCTGCTACCCTCATGTGTGTGTAGCCGATCTCCTGTAAAGGATAAAATATCACCAGGCTGAAATAATCTACACAACAATTTAAAATTTGAAAGTGATAAATTACCATAACTACTTATATATAACAATACAATCATGAATAGCTATAGAGTTAAATCATGAAGCAAGACGTAATTTGAAAATTGTGAATGATTTTGCCAGTATAGCATAAGTTTGCTTTAATACAACATTTATAGAAAATGTCCTTTACAACTGGATTATAATTAAGTTAACTCTTAAAACAACTGTAAAACAAAGCTAACCTGCATTCAACACAGGGTCACTTTCAATTTATCAAACATCTTTTATTATACACATGTACATGCATATTAACATCATTGGTGATATTAAATGGATAGTCTCTATACTGAACAAAATTACAGTCCCCTGATATATGTTCACACAAACTGAAATATGACAGCCTACAAGAATAACTTACTACATTCCTCTGTTCAACATCATTACCTGGTTTATCTTTGTATTTTTTCATAATTTCACAATTACAATTTTTACCAAATAAAATTACAAACAATGCAATTTTCTCTTGGTCAATTTGATATTTTAATAGATATTACAAATACATTTTTTTCTTTATAAATGTCAATTTTAAGTGCTACAAACCTTAATGAACTCAAGCTTGAGGAACTCTGGCATGCTGTGTGTTTTACACACCCGGAACACAATGGTCATGATATCCTGACATGAGTAGCCAAGCTTCCACAAGTGAGCCATGATCTTGTAGGCGTCCTCCAGGGCCCCGTTCACACAGTGCTGTAGCATGTCCTTCACCAGCACAGGGTGGGGCTCATCACACACCTAGACAGGCACAAGAAAACTGTTAATAGCTGGATACCCAGAGATTACTTCCTTTATTAAATGTCTTATTGTTTATTTACTTGACAAATTATACGTATGTAGCAGAACTGGACTGGGTCGATCGTCTAAAGTTTGGTGGGTCCCAGGTTCGAACCCTGGTCTGGACGTTGCATTTCTCTTTCTCCCGTTACAAAATTGGCGAGCTTGCCAACCCTTGTTTTAAGCACCGAGTGAATGCTTAGCAAGGAGATATCTGAATCCGAGTTGTAAACAGTGTTGTCTTCGGGACAAAGACTTAGAAAAGGAGGAAGGAATGTAGCGGAGCTTGACTGGGTTGATCTTCGGCAACCAGATAGCTCAATTGGTAAAGCGTCGGTCTTGAGTTCGGAGGGTCCAGGGTTCGAACCCCAGTCTAGCCATGGCATTTCTTTCTCCTGTTACACATACATGCAATTGTACTAATTTTCTTTGTTGATAATATGTACACATGAAGTAAAGTCTCGTTTGATTTATGTTATATACACATATATATCAATATCTTCATGTGTACAAACCAGGTTAAAACCACAGAAAATGGAGGTAGAAAGCTAGTGCGGAAAATTTGCTGGATCAATCTAATTGTTTGATTGGTGTATAAGCAGCACTTTTAGGACTCATTTTCAATGGCTGTAGTTATATTATCTTCATGAATGCCAGCAGAGGACAATCAAGAGAAATGAGTCCAAAACATCAGCATTGCTCCATGATTGCCGACAGATTCTAATAAACGAACATCAATGTCCATTAAATAATGTATTTCTTACCTTGAATACATTCTCACTATTAACATGTCCAAATCCTTGATGTGTGGACTGTAGATTATTTAATCCCTGCAACAGATTATGGAAACAATTTAGTGTATTAATGGATTAGGATCTATATATTTCTTTAAATCAATGTTACTTATATGGTTGGGAGGTTCAGCTATAAATACGATTATGAAATTCAAAAAATTTCCATTCTGTAATTGCCATGAGAAACAGAAATATCTGCAAGATACTCTTGAAATATCACATTCTGAAAAGCTGACTAAAGTTGCTTTTCCAGGATTAGTTATGAAGGAGCAGGAAAGCATCTTTTTCTGATCCCCCAACACCTACACCTATTTTGTCTTGATGTCCCCTGTACAAATCAACCAACACCCTAAACAAGATTGTCTAAAGTGACTGAGGATGGCTTATAATCAAGCTAATGAAAAAAAGAACTGCATAATAATATCTTATCCAGGTACAGGAGCACCCCATAAACAACATTTCTATGCCTTTTTACCTGTCTCATGTCTCCTTGTGATGTAAAAACAATGGCCTCAATTCCGTCGTCCGTATAACTAACACTCTCCTGCTCACAGACCTCCAGTAAGCGTTTCAGAACCTGTGCGTCGGTTAACTTGGAATATCTCAGCACAGCACATCGTGATTGGATTGGTTCTGGAAGTAACAAGGACATTATTTTTAGGAGTAATAGAACTCGCTGTCATTTACCAAAGCAGATGTGCATCTTAATTTTTTGACACAACAAGGGTAATGCTCACTTACGCTCTCCACACCCCTGGAATATGTCATAGCAGGAATATGTCATAGCAAAATCAAAGGCTAAGTGTGTGCCACTTTGTGGCTGAGACAAGAAAACTAGTTCTTCCTTTGATGTATATCAAAAGAATCTCACGGTAGCATTACGGTAAAATTAACTGGCTTTGAAGTCGGGTGTCGATGTTCTATAATCTTCAAAGGACAGGTATATATCAGCCTAGCGATTTGTCAGATGTTTTACAACCCGAGACCAATCAAATATCTAGCCACATGCCTTCAATTTTGCTGTGGCGTATTCCTTGGGTGTGAGTATAACCCCTGGAGTATCGAGGATGGCAGATGTGAGAACTTAGGTACTGAATTAGTTTCAGTTGACAGTTATAGGCAATATGTATATATGTCAACTGCATTGATTCAGGAAAACAGCATGAAGCATGATAATAAAGCTATTCCAGATATGAATGTATATAGGGGCGACAAGGAGACATTCATAATCAGGGTTTAAGTTGACTCTTGAGTTTAATAAACGTCTATATGACATGTCTGTTTTGACCCTCCAAATTTCAGGAAAATTATTTTACCTCTAAAACTGTAAAATGCCAAAGATCATCAACTAGCACTGGTCATTGATATCACTGGGTGGTTTTTAATAATTGCTTAACATTTGTATAGTAGGGAACCAGAAAAAAAATATATCCTGAATGCAGTTTACAACAGCTGGCAAACATAAGGCTTATAGATTAACATATGAAAGTTGAAGTTCTTTAATAACAATCATTTTAAAATAAAGGGAAAGGTAAAGGCAAATTAACAAACAATATAATTATGGTAAATAAGTGTTCATATGGAAACCTAATTTTTATAATACTGTAATTTTAAAACAAAACTACATGAAATTTACCAATGATTTTATCTGATGCATTACAGGCCAGCGCAAATCGTGTCGTCTTGGAATATATTTCCATTGTCCTTCTCATTGCTTGTTGTGCTCCATCAGTCATGCTGAAACAGTAAATTTCATTTAAGAATGGCATCTAACAAAAGATGAACTCATAATAAACTAGAAAACATCTGTAAGACATGAATGTCCCCATGCTTGTGAAGTTGATAAACTAATGACAATAAATATGCTGACAAAATAGTAATAGTTGACCTATAAATAGCAAGCGACCTTGACAGTAATAGTTGACTATAAATAGCAAGCGACCTTGGCAGTAATAGTTGACCTATAAATAGCAAGTGATCTTGGCATTCTTCTTGGGAATAAAAAATATGAACTCTTCACATTGCAAGGTATTTTCATGGTTCAGTCATGACAACGAATCACAATGTGACGGTCAGGCATGGGTATTATTAAATTTCTGACAGGGGGAGGGGCATACAAATCTTAAATTAAGGGAAAAAAATCGTAAATTTTAGGAAATATGTTGGTCACATCTAAACACCTATCAACCATTAAACAGCTTGTATACACTGGATGGATCTTTTTCTTTTTTACATTACCTGTCAGCTTCATCCAGGATTATAACTTTGTGGCGACCTTTTGGTAGTGTGACTTTCTGTTGGGCGAACATCTTTATTTTGTTCCTTACTACATCAATACCTCTGAAACAAAAAATAAGGTTATTTTCATATTTTATTATATTTTAAAAAAAAATGTTTTTTTTATTTCAGTGATACAACTGACTGCAAAAAATGGATTGACATTTGAAAACTACCACTGTGAATATAGCTCACACCTAAGTTTCCATGCTACATTTTCTTTTCAAATGTGTTTTATATCTCTTAATTCCAGTATTAAATATCATTTTTAGAACTTTCAGAATTGACTAGCTAGGAAAATTGACATTACTAAAGCAACTAAATCCATCCATTTTCCTTTTTTCTTCTCAATAAATAAAGAAATTTCTGAAGCTTTTCTCATAAAGCATAAGGAAGGCTTGCTTATAAGAAATAAACTGTGTTGTACTAGCAGTGAATTTTGTTTATCAAAAAATAAGCTTTAATTTCATGAATAATAAGGATACTAGTACTTATACAACCATGTTATTTTGTTGCCTTTGGGTTCTGTTACTAAGGCATAAGTTTATGTCATAACTTCTTGTCTGTAAATTCTGCCAATTAATTTCATTCATATATATAACAACGCTCTCATTATTAAGACTGAAAACATAATGATTCAACAGCAACCTTCAAGTCTTTGATTTTGAAGTATGTGTGTTTGCTATCACTGTTTAAAATATAGGCAAGGCAAAGGAATTTGCAAAGTGTGATGCATTCATGATATTGAATTGTTTGTACAAATCAGCAAATATATTCCGTCTTTTCGTATTGCAGAGTTATCTTCTCTTGTGAGCAGGTATTGACTGTTACGTCATGGGTTTGTGAGAGTAACATCATCAATTATTGGGAAAACAACGTAATTTTCTCACACAAACTAATGAAGTAACAATCAATACCTGCTCTCAAGAGAAGATAACTCTGCAATACGCAAAGACGGAATACACGGTACAGTATCTTGTTGATAAAATTACCGGTCGTTAGAGGCATTCAGTTCTAACACAGCATCCTTGTAGGATGGTCCCAGCAAGGCTCGTGCCAAACACAGTATACTTGTGGTCTTTCCCGTCCCTGGAGGTCCCTGGAAACACACAAAGGTTAATCATTTGAATGAAGGTGACATCAGGGTTTTCATATAGTACATTTTTGGGATAAACATTTCCATTTTCTGCCAAATTTCATAGATTTCATTTTCCATTTTTCCATTTTAATATTTGGAAATCATAACATCATAAATATACATTTTCTGTCATTACTTGCTGTTCCTATTCATAGCCAATTTTTACTGGTTAAGGAAATTTAGCATAACAAAAATTTGCAAATAACTATGTGATTTATTCTGTTAAATTTAATTAGCTCGCAACCAAACCTAGAGCTTTAAACAACAAATATGTTTGCTCTCGACAACTTGTTTTAATATCAGCAAACACTTTTTGAATAAACTGGTTGTTAAGTGTTTTTTTCCCTCTATGTTTTTAGTTGATGTTTTTAGGAATTGGCTATACATGTAGATATGTTAATTCTACATCATTTGACATCATTTTCACACAACTAAGCTGCTTTGAGTGGCACACACCTGTTTCATGCATTAAACACGACATTACATAACTGACTCAATATTTATTTGTGTCCGTAACTAATTTCTGCATAAATGGATCATTCTAGGTTTCATTGTATTCACTTAGGGGAATTGACCTGATTTCCTGTAAATGTATTTCATGTATTTATTGTGCCTTTTTCAAAACTGAGAACTTTCAAATGAATACCGGTAGTTTAAAGACGTTGTGTGCCAAAGGAAGGCATTTACTGAATTCACTAATTAGTGTTGGTATTCACAGTGGAGGAATGAATCCACTCACAAGTTGCAAGCTAAAAGAAACTACAAGAGGCCCATAGGGCCTGTATTGCTCACCTTGATATCTAAGCAATCATGGCAGAATATTCTCCAAATGAGATCCAAGGGAATATGCCAGACCCCAAGGCCAATCCTTGTAGCATATATACCTGTATTCAATTTTTCATGCCCAGCAATTTTATGTATGGTTATGGGGTGGGGATCTCAACTGTTTCCAAGCTGTGACGCAGAAACTAGGTCCCTACGGTTGTGGCCAGACCCCAGGATCAATTCTAATATCATGACTGCATTTGTCTCTTTTTGCCCAGCATTTGTATATATAGTTTTGGGGTGGGGATTTCAACCGTTTCAAAGTTATGACCCAGGGGTTAAGTCTGCAAGGGTGGGGCAAACCCTGGGGTCAATTCTAATATCATGACTGCATTTGTCTCTTTATGCCCAACAATTGTATATATAGTTTTGGG